ATATCCAAAGAAAAAAAATGTATGTATGTATATATATAGGACAAATTTTCAAAATAGACCCTATTAGAAATTTATTTTTAAAATCGACACCTTTGAAATTTACTTACCATTTTTGACTTGTTTTCAACTAGGTCTATTAGAAATTTATTTTTAAAAATCGACACCTTTGAAATTTACTTACCATTTTGACCTGGTTTCAGCCAGGTCTATTAGAAATTTATTTTTAAAAATCGACACCTATATCCAAAGAAAAAAAATGTATGTATGTATATATATAGGACAAATTTTCAAAATAGACCCTATTAGAAATTTATTTTTAAAATCGACACCTTTGAAATTTACTTACCATTTTTGACTTGTTTTCAACTAGGTCTATTAGAAATTTATTTTTAAAAATCGACACCTTTGAAATTTACTTACCATTTTGACCTGGTTTCAGCCAGGTCTATTAGAAATTTATTTTTAAAAATCGACACCTTTGAAATTTAGCTACCATATTTGACCTACAACTTCACGAGATTTAAAATCCCGAGAAGTAGGGTGTATTTCTTCTGTAGCTTCATTAGCGTGGTTAATTAAGTACTAAAATTCATGGGATTTTAAATCCCGTTTCAAACTTTATTTGCTATTTTCGACCTAGTTTTAGCTAGGTGGCTGAAATTGGGTCGAAATAGCAATTAAATCTCAAAGGGGATGTTTTATATATATAGATCTGTGTGTGTATGGATTATTCTACTCTTAGGAGGAGAAAGAATCTCCTCCCACATTTGTAGCCTTAGATTAAAATTTTAACAGTTAAAGGTATAAATGCATATCTCACCAAAATCAAAGTAAATTAAGCTTGAGAGGGCAAATTAGGTAGTTAAAATTGTTTTATTAGGATTAGAAATATCTGGCAGTCTACTTATAGTTGTCTCTTTCATAAATCATCTTCATCTATATCGTTCTTACTGAGGGGAGCATTGGCGCAACGGTAAGGTTGATACCTTGTGACCTGGAGGTCACAGGTTCAAATCTCAGAAATAGCCTCTCCGCAAAGCGGGGGTAAGACTGCGTACATCTGACCCTCCCTAGTGCCCACAATGATGGAAACCTCTGACACTGGGCGTCCTTTTTTTATCTATATCGTTCTTACTCTCTTCATACATTTGTAGCATGGCTGATTATTTTTGGCATCAAATATAATATGATAAAAAGTGTTCCTGAAAGTGACCACTAGGAATAGTTGTTCTCAAACAAAATTTAGATATCAAGAGACGTCTTTATGCCACATGAATTTGGTGCAATTGCATGCATATTTCAGATAAATTAAATTACAATCTACATGATTGTTCTCATTCAAACTTTGGTACATAAACTTGATTAAGGTGTTATATATCACCTGAAAATACAATCAGCCACAGATGAGGATGACGGTTAATGAAACATGACGAGAAATAAAAGGAAACAACAACCTAGATCTGGATTTTATCGAAAATTATCTTTAATGAGAACCCGAATTTCATGGAAAATTAGCTTTATCACCGAATCACCCTTTGCTGCTTGGATTTTCTTTCATCCGTTCCAATATACCTTTATTATCTATAGCCATCAAAAAGTAAATCTGATGGCTATAAATGTGGGAGGAGGAGATTCCTTCTCCTCCTATAAGTACAATAGTCCTGTTCATGTGTGTGTGTGACATTCCTTCTCCTCCTATAAGTACAATAGTCCTGTTCATGTGTGTGTGTATGTGTGTGTGTGTGTGAAGGTGTTACCCAGTGACAATATACAGGTAACATTAAGAAAAATAGGACTTAGAATATAAGGATATGCTAGGAATGTGCCACTGAAGTGGACATAACCATGGCATAAATGGGCATTGATTTAATTAAAAAGGAAAATAAATGATAGTATACCATATATAAAAGGCATCAAGATTGCAAGTAATTGAATGCACACAACAATACCGAAAATCAGCCGATAACAAAACTTATAGGATTCCCACTGCATGCAAATTCGCCTTGAAGTTGCTGTTACAAATAAATCATAAATAAATTAAAATTTCTTCGCTATAAAATAAATAAATCAAGAAGAAATAATTGTATTTTAACAATGCCAAGGGGAAAATTGAAACTATTGAAACCCTAAAAAAAGATTAAATTAAATGTTGTAAACTATAAGAAAGAAAATCAATTTATAAAATAATGAAATAAAGATTTTCACAAAAACATACTACTAAGTGAACAGAAAACATTCTTTATAAGGTAAAGTTACCCCTAAAGAAATGTTACAAATTCTAGCGCCTCATTTGGTACGCGTGAAAGAGTAGAAATAGAATGTCCATTCCTACTTCTCATTCACGGGCACCAAAAATGACATACTTTTGAATGATAGAACACTGATTCTCACTTCTCCATTCCTACACTTTCTGGGAATGGGCATTCCCATTGTATTAGTAGGGAATGAACATTCGTAATTAAGTGGAAATAAAAAAGGAAAGCATTTTTGGAATATGCCCTTCTAAAAGATACAAACATATCTAATATCTTAAAATCATGAATTTTCTCTATCATTCATCCCAACCCTAGTTCATTGCTATTCATGTGATGGAGGCAAAAGTTTGCAATGCCTCATCATCATTTTTGCTTCTCTTTCAGCAAGGATTGACCATCCGCCATAGGTGAATATCTCATCATCAATGAATTAATGATAAATTTAGCAAATGGTGGACTTAAAATAAATTTCAACAACTAAACTATGTATGTTAGAACTAGTGGGGATCACTTGGCTGTTGATTGCAATCATGTGATTGGCCACTTATTTTAATATCTTTTTCTTTTGATCTTTGGACACGGTGAATCATTTAATTGTTAGAATTTAAAAATTAACTAGTGCATATAATCAATAAAAGAGGGCAGATCAATACTATATTAAATGCTAAAGTAATAAGGCACTCTTCTTTTCTCTAGCATATAGTTATCACAATAACATATTCCAGTATTCCTTATGCTATGAAAAAAAATAAAAAAAATATTCTTATATAATGTTATTTTCAAAAAAAATATCTAGTCATCATTATTAATATTTTTTATACTTAATTTTAAAATTATGTGTTGTTGTGAGGATATTATTAGAAAATAAAATTTCATTCTCACTTATGAACAAGTTACACCAAACATAGAAATGAGAATGAGATTTCATTCCCACTTCATTCTCTAGCCGCAGCCATGAGAATGGGAATGAGCATTTCATTCCCAAACTTATTCCATTTTTTTCCTTCCTCCATTTCATTCTCGCTTTGACTCCATTCCCATGTACCAAATGAGGCATAAAATTTCACGAGGTATAGTCCTTTAGAAATAATCTATCATCTAATGTCTTCAATCAAGTTGGTCACATTTAGAGGGTGAAAACTAATCAATCTAACTCTACCATGTGAAGATGTATAAGAGAAGCAGAGGTCAACAAAATTTCTACTTTGGATTTGCAGATGTTACCACACCATGACCAAATCTAAGAAACATTGTTTCAATATAACCAAATATAAGAAATATTGTTTTGACAGGAGTGTATTATAGTTTCACTACTTCGAATTTGCTCATTTTCATTAAAATAGAAATTAAATGCTTCAAAGTAGAGGCAAACAAAAAAATTATTAGGAAAATATTTAGATATGGAGACCAACGGGTACTGCATCCATGAGAAATGCTAATACATATATGTGTGTGTGTATTCATAACATGCAAATATATCTATGTATGTATGTGCGCACACACACACACATAACATGCAAATATAATTAGAAAACCTAGGACATTGACTAAAGTAGTAATTGTACTTTCAACCTCCATGAATATTGTCAAACTCAGCAATGAAGCCAACAAAGTAAAATTCATTAGTTCATGTCTCAAAAGAAATAATTTAAAGGAGAAGAATATTTTTTAAATATGCCTTAGTGTAAATACAAGCAGTTAAAGATGCCAAAGTAGAAGCACGAAACTATTTTTTTGTAGAATCTCCCAGTATCTGAGTTAGTTTAAATAAACTGTTTTTCCAGATATGTATGTCCTAGGAATTTTATTCTATATATATTAACAGCTTTATCTGAGTTTCTGAAGCAATATATATTCTTTTCTCAAAAAGGTTTCCAAATAAAAAATTATTCACTGTGTTGTAGTAGTTTGCATAGTACAAGCTTCCAGGCATGCCAGGCAAGCTTCAGATTGTTAATGGATAGTTTCCTTAGTAAAACTGGAGCATCCTGAAGGGTCAGACTATGTCAGATAAACTTCTGATGAAATATGCAGCATGTTCTGATACTGGTTTTCCCAGTATGTGTCCTATTCACATATAGTTTCTGCTGGTAGCTATCATTTCTTACTGCATTAACTTACTTATAACCTTATTTGAGAATAAGGTGTTAACATAAAAGCTTACGTAAGGGTCATTTGGTTTGAAAAGGGAAATATAGGTCTTTAATGTTTGGTTGCCTTCTTCGTATTACTAGATCATCATTGTCTTTAGATGACGATCAACAATCATGTGAGCTGCAACTGTTGGAAGGAATTGCTCTGGAGCTGAATCATGAGAAGGCATCAAAAAGGACTAGCAATTCAATGGTATGAGAAGTTACACCTATTACAGTTTTAATTATATCTTGGTATACACAAACTGATCCAAATATATTGTCTTCTTGATAGGAAGAACCACCGGTTTGGAGCATGGATCCACAAATGTCTAGTGAAATGGACGACTTAGCAATCTTCTCAAAATTGGTGGAACACAGCACTTTTACAAAATATATAAACTTCAAAGAACAATAGATATAAAATTGTTGAAACATGACAATTTTCTTCTTGTTAAGACTTTCCAGGGAAACAAGAAACATATATTTTTTTCCTGCATCGTTCAAAATGCTTTATTTTGGTATATGTATAATTTATCGAGTTACTTAATTTTATGGCTTTGGTAGTTATAAGTAGATAGTTCAAAGCACTTGATTAATTGGCTAGATATAATAAGTTGGAGGGCACAACAACAATCAAAGACCTCAAGGACGCACTTGCAAAAAAGATATGTACTAAAATAGCCTTCTATATTTGGAGTCAAGAGATTTCTTTTCCACACTAACGAGTAATGACTATGGATAACTATTTGGATTAATCTTTTCTAAGATGTTGTATTCACATATTATATCCCATTGTAGGATTAATCACTTTTGTATTCTCTCAGATGAACTTGTGCTTCAAACGGACTCTCTTTTTAAGCAGTGTCCTTTAGGCTTTGTTTTTTGACATAAGTTCAGTTGTCTCACCCCACTTTTATAGTAAACTTCCATACCCCTGATTTCAGTAAATATTCTTCTGAATTACTTGACTGAGTGAAGGAACAAAAAAGTTTACTAAATCTCTACCAATACTATTCCCTTTTTTGGATTATTCTCCATGATATTCCAGTTAAACCATTCTCACAGCAGTATGCTTGTCACTCTTTTCTGTTGGCAAGAAACAATTTGGATAAAATTTATAAATTCTCACTGCTGCCTCATTACCACCTTGAATTGGAAATATTTCCACCTTTAGGTTTTAACCACTGATGATGGGAATCAAATCGAAAAGGCCTTCGTGATATAGATGATGACCAAAATTATTATGGAGGGATGGAAAACGGCTTAAAGAAAAGGAGAAAAGAGAGATAGAGAAAGGCACAAATGTGTAGCACTTTGATGCCATATTCTACTTTACCATAGAAAAACAAGAAACCTTTCAAAGCCTTTATGAGTTTGTGGAAAAGGGCAAAGAAAAAACTTGAAACCCTGAAGGGATCCGAAATTATAACTTGATTCCACTCCCTCGCCCCGAATCTATTCTTACAAAAGTTTACATCCCCAACAGACTTGATTGAGCATCTTAGAAAGAAGGCAACAAGAAAAAGTATGAGATTGCATATCTTCAGTAGCATATTTGAAGTGACTTCCAATATTCGACCTCTGAAACCGATCAAAATAATAATGAAACGGAACAAAAAGGGTATTACGTGAATGGAATTGACATAATGTTTCACAATGCCACTAAAAGGAACCTACATTCACGAATATTTAGAAAAAAAAAAAGCATTCACCAAAATTACTACCCGCACTCCCTGAAGTCAGAACCAACCGTTTGTAATTCATGTTTGATCTTAAACGTACGAGACCTCTACTTAGTCAACCGAAAATCACCATTTTCACCATAAACATCTTAATCCAAGTAGGAAAACCCATCTTCTTCCAACTGGAATTTGATACCATACAAACTAATTCTAAAGAAAATTTTCTAGCGAAAAATGGGAGATATTGCTTGAGCAAAGACAGCCAGTCGGATGCTTTGGGGGGTGAAAAAAAATTATTCTTGCTTCTAATTTGATTTTCCCCTCCACACAAGGCTCTCACTAAAAACCTGTTGACACTGCAACAATACCCAAAGCTAGGGTTTAGTTTTCATGCCAATCTTGGGGTTTGCATTTTAGGGCAATACCATGCAATGGATGAAATTAATCTAAACCTACTTAACTTAATTAAGGAAACTACGGAAAATTAATGGCATTACTCCCAAAATTAGTATGGCATCATGATTCAAAATCGATTACACTTAATTGCGAGGAGACAAGAACGAAACTGCTGTAATCAGAAGACACGGAGTCGCAAAAGAGAATCTCAACCACATAAGTTTCATAATTTCAGAATGAAATTAGGAAGAAATAGGAGAAAGATGGTACCTTTTTGCTCTTCCATATCAGCCTTACAGAGGAGAACACGGAGAGCGCACACACACACACATATATATAATATTCTTTTCAGAATACGAATCTCCTACAAAATATATGTTATTTGTATAAACCCCACTGTGTTGAGTCCAGACACAGAGTGGGTCTTATTTCGATCACACCATCATTATATTAAACAACACATTAGATTAGATAACACAAACACCATCATTAGTTTTTAACAAGCATTGCTCTTCCTAAAGTCAAGGCAAGCTTCCACTGCTTCACTCACTGTGAGAAATATCCACTGCTCTCCGATCCTCTCCACAAACTTTGATAGCTTCATCTTGTGAACCGCTTGAAGCCCGGGATTGGCTATGGCCACCTGCATGCAGTGAATTCATTATAAGAAACAGAATTAATTGTACCCTTTTCCTTGGTTAATTGCGTATGGAACCCCAGTAGATATTGTTGGTTTAAACTTACTACCCTATAGTTTCATCTTTTGCAAATAGAACCCCAGAGTCAAATCTGCGTGGCTCTTTTATCCTCAGGGTGTCTATTTGTCCAAAAACAATTTCAGTTTTCGCTCAGCATAAAAGCGTCAAAAACAGTACAATTTGGGGATCTATCTGCAAAGTAAAACTAGAGGAATATATATATAGTAAGTTCAAAACAATGATACTACAGGGGTTCTGTCCGCAATTAACCTTTTCTACGACTAGTGAATAGAATTAGAGGCTCACCTGAATACCAATAGAGGCCAGATTCTTATATATCTCTTCGAGGGCAGCAATTCCAGAAGTGTCCATATTCATTACATCTGAAAGACGAATGTTCTTTAGTAAATTTATGAAGTTAATTGGAGTTTATAGAGTTTCCAGACTAGAAATTTACTTGACATGTCGATGACTAAGGAATGGATTCTTTCTTCGCCTTTCTCCTCTATTGATCCCTCTTCTTTTATTGCTCTTGTAATCCTGCACAAAATGCAGGACTAGTTGTTTAAAAAAAGCCAATATTCAAATTCCTCAGTATAAGATATATTATGCGTTTATACCTTTCTCTGATGAAGTTTGCATTAGTGAAGCAAAGGAAGGATGTGTCTATACGAGCTACGAGCAATGCATGTGTTCTTGTAGCCATTGTATAATGTCTTGTGCTACAAAATATGTCAGTTCCAGGGATCCTTCCAAGTATTTCAATGCGCGATCTGATTGAACTTAATAGGATCCTTGCAAAAGATATGACCATCTGCGAAAAATAAAATATCTTTCAGTGAATTCATCTATATGAGTTAAAAGAGATTAAGTAGACCAATAATCTCACCGCCACCACAAGACCGATCTCTACTGATCCGAACAGAACACCGAGGAATGCTCCAATACAAGCTAAGAAGTCCATTTTATCGACCTCCCAAATATGGTAAGCTTCACTGACATCAATGAGATTTGGGAGGGCAGAAATGATAATGGATGCAAGTATAGAATAAGGAGTGTAGTACAATAGCCTTGTGAGGAATTCTAAGGATAGAAATACTGTAATGGCCATGACTACATTTGAAATGGGTGTTTTGCATCCTGCACTGAAATTTACTGCTGACCGAGAGAAGGAGCCTGAACATATAATTCTATGTCAGTCAAAATGTGCGATAGCAGATATTTCTAATTATGTAAAAAAGATGTGGGTATCTGTTATTGAGAGTATAAATAGATCGTAGATTAAAAACACTACAAAATTAGTATAATCTTAGTTTGTTTTTTTAGGATGATTATATACTAGTACCATGTTCAGTATGTATGTCTGTATGTATGCATAATGATGTATGCAACTACACTATATGTAAATTTGTGTACGTATGTACGTATGTGTGTGTGTGTGTTTTTTTTTTTTTTGGTTGGGGGGGGGGGGGGAGGCTTGGGGGGGGGGGGGGGGGGG